CAAATACAAAATTGCATTTGTTCTTGTAATCATACTTTGCTTGTATCTAGATGTGGATGAGTGTGCCAGGGGTACCCATGATTGTCCAGAAGGCTTCCGTTGTGATAACTCTCATGGTAGCTTCAGATGCACTCGATCATCACCATGTGGAACTGGTTACACAGTGAATGCTTTTACTCAGCAGTGTACAGGTATGGATGCGCTGGCACAAATCATTCAATGCCAGTTATGGTTTCGGTAGACACACACGAACTACCACAGACAGCGCTGATAAATAACCACACTTCTGAAATCAGAAGAAAAAAAGCATTTTCTCCAAAGGTCCTCAAGAGACTTCAAATGAAAGATTTTTCATCACTTTGTCTTTACTTTCTGTTCAAGTTTTTGTGGCAAGGGGTCATCCATAAAGCAGATTTTAAAGTACACTTTGGGAAGGGTGGTTGCTGACATTGTGTACACCTTACATGGGGGGGTTCAAGTGCAATGCGTACATGAGCAGGATGCTTTACTTTCAATATACTTTAAAACTGACGTAGTAACTCACATTTTTTCCATCCAGAATGATCTCATACACATGTACACTGAAAATAGGTATAGCACAGCACTTTTTATTCCCACCATTAAATCTCACACTACCAATGCCACCAGTGTAATAAAGTCAAAGAGAAATATGGAAGGTGTTTATATACAGCAGAGAAGGATCTGAACCACTACCTGTGTGTACCGAGGGGGGGGGGTAGGCATAGTATGTTGGGGCACTGATCCACTGATCTAAGAGAGACATTGTCACACAAGTATTCACTGCAAAAGTTCCTGCTTTTCAGAGCTCAGTCTTATCCAACTTTACACAACTAGAATTCAAGCTTTTCCCAGCTTCCGTTGCAAAACTTGATGTGCTCCCCTCCCTCCCAGATATGTTTCCAATTTAATTATTTATTCATTCATTTTTTTTTAAGAATCGAGAATACCAGTATTGTACAAATGATACTGGGGGGTCTTTTACGGATGAACAAATTTTACCCATGTTTTTTAGAAATTTTTGCCCTTCTGTACTCAAGACCTCGATATGTCACTGCACATGGAAGCTGCCAGCTTCCAACCTTGCTTTTTTACAAAGTACCCACTTCGTGTGCCACAGAAATGTCTAATAGCAGAGAAATTCAGGGCTTGCGTATTCTTCTTTTATCAACATAGGCTATTTGGGGCCTATTTATTGGTCTGCAAATGTAAGCCTGAGTCTGCAGTGGATGAATGTATGTGTAAGTTACTAAGCTGTATGGAGTCCATGCCTGAGGGAGACATGGACTTTATAGACCTTTTTCGTGTGATGTCACTATCATGCTGGACCTATGATGTGTTATGATGGTAATGAAGCGTAATGTTGTGATGGTAATCTACCTATTCAAGATAAACTAGTCAAGCATGCTGTATTCGCACATGCGCTTGTACGTGGTTGAAGCTGCCCGTATGCAATCACCGTGGCAAAGGTGGTCCACACATGGTGGTATTGTTTACATTTAGCCACATGGGTGAAAAAGGTCTATAAGCAACAATATCTTGTGGGGTTGTCACCCTAAATGAATGCACTGGTCTGCAGGTATGTGAAAACTCTATATTCCAAGAGAAATCGGTCACAAATGCTCAGCGCAGCATGTTTGAACTCATGTGGCATGCAGTCGAGTTCCCATAAAAGGGACCAAACACACCTATGACCATCTGTTCTTCCTACATGGAGGGGATATTTCACTTTCTTGCATTGTCCTACGGCCCCTCTGTCAATGTAGCCTCCATGGTCATGTAGTTGATTAAGGTTCATTGATTTTGGCAGACATAGACGAGTGTGTGCAGGACACCGATGATTGTCCCCCAGAATACTACTGTCAGAACACCATGGGAAGCTACAAGTGCAGGCCTTGTCAACAAGGCTTCAAGGCAGATAGTTCAGATGGCTGTTCACTAGGTAAAATCCATCTTAACACTTTCTTAGATTCAAGTACTTGAATAGAATCGCATCAAAATCTTTCAGTTCAAGTTAGTTCAATTTTGTGATTTATTTTGGCTGCTCTCACATAAACTGGATGTCACTCAATTTTTTCTTTCTCTCACAAGATATCGATGAGTGTGAAGAACTGGGAGATGTGTGCCCTCCTGACCAGACATGTGTCAATACCTACGGCAGTTATCGCTGCAATCCTGGCTGCCCGCAGGGTTTCCAGTATAGTGAGTTGTACAGGGAGTGCAGAGGTAAGAGAGAACTTACATTTTAGGCATTTGAAATCGTATTTAGGACGTGAGCCCAGTGCTCCTGCCAGAGTATGAGCCCCACAATTGATTTGATGAAACCCAATGTTTTGGCATAACTCCACTATTTTGCATTGTGTAAGTTGGTGATTGTGCAACAAACAATAATGTAACGTATAAACTTGTTAAAGAGGTGTATGTTATCTTTCAAGCCATAAATGGATAAGCTTATTAACATTGATCTCCATAAAGCACACCATAACTCAACTAAGTCTTGACATTCAAATTCAGAAATGTTTATTTTGAAAAGTGGTGAAATGCAGTTTATTCCATATTTGAGCAATGTGATGAAGATGGAACACACCTACATTTTCCTGGCTGACTTTAGAAGAAGTCATACAAGCCTTTCCAAACACCTTCATTAAACCAGTTGTTATGTAAGGCTGCTCCAATCTTCAGACAAACTCAGAAGCAAACTAAATTTGGTGTCATAAGACATTAACAGCATAATTCACTTGAATTGAAAGTTCAACTTCTCTGGATTTGCAGCACAAGCAGTTGATTTGCCTTCATAGTTTTGTGTCCATTTTTGTTGGGGGGGCTTTAATTATGAATCATGCTTTAGTCTTGCTGCAGTATGTATGGCTAATGATATTCAGAGGTGCAAGCAAATGATTACCCCTGTTAAGCTGGTTTTGAATGGTTAAGCTATTGTCCACCAAAGCTGTGTCTTCTGGATGTAACAGGTTGGGCACCAAGGCACAATCAAGCAATGATGACATCATTTTTAGTTATTTAGATCGTGGCTTTCAGATGAATGTGGAGAAATGTAGTCAAGTGGTTAGGTCTGTGGCTTCCAATCATAGGGTTTGAGGTTCAAGTCCAGCTGCTGGCAGTATGGTTGTGGCCCTTGGCAAGCCTCTTCACCCCCGCTTGCCTCTCTCTACCCAGGAGTATAAATGGGTACCAGTATTAACTGGGGAAGCAACCTGCGATGGACTGGCATTCCATCCAGGGGGGAATAGAAATATTATCAGTCGTTTCATGCCATGGAAACCAGAGATAAACACCGGCCTGATGAGCCAAATTGGCTCAGACCAGACTTGCTTCTCAGATGAACCTGATTTTTTCATCAATCTAAATTTTCCATTAAAATGGTATTAATGATTTTCCAGATTTAGACTGCATGTAGTTCCTATCATGTATGTAGCACTGTTCCCTTAAAGTGCATTACTGAGAGTTTGCTGCTAAATCTTTACAGGTGGTGTCAAATTTTTTTTTACCAGCAGGTATGCGAATTCGGCCCAAAAAAGGTCTTGTGAAGAAATTGGGATTTTTTGCTAAATTGGCCTTGTGTATAAAATTGTGGTTAATGGATGTCTTCATCAATTGCATGGAGCATTTAATGATTGAGGTGTGGGTTTTTAAATATTTCCCTCAGAAAATGTAGATGTGTAGGCCTCTAATGTCTCACATAGGCATGTGAATGGCCACCATATGGCTGCATTATGGCTGCTGCCTCAAATATTAGACTGGTTTCTAGCCCTCTGTGGTAATGCTGCAGACTACCAATAAAAAACATTTTTGTGAAAGAAAATAAGTTTTGGATAAGCTTTCTCGATAAGTATAATTGGCAGGGATGGATCAAGCATTTTCTAAAAGTGGGTCGTAATTCCAGATTTTCCCAAAAGGGGGTGGGAACGAAAGCAGCAATAGTGAAATGCCCTTACGTATGGCTTGGGGTCCAGGGGATTTTGGATTTTAGGCACTCTGTGGCGCAATTTCAGTCAGTATGACACTTTTATTTTTCTGCTCCCTCTCTCTTTCTCTTCTTTTAAGATTTTTAATTTAGGAGGGAGGCACCCCTGTCGGCCCCTGAATGGTCCTGATATATTTCTCCATCAGTCTGATTTTGCAAATTGTATGATATTCGTCTGGGTTTTCAAGAAAAGCATCTAGAATGGAAATCTTGGAAACTTTCAAAATTTGTGAGAATAGAATGATAACATAATTGCTCGAGTACATTAAGTATGTATTTGGATATATTGGTGAGTTTATGCAATTTATTACTCATTAATTAATAACTGTCTAATTGAAATTGTCTGACATGAGAACTTGATCACAAATATTGCCATTAATCTTCATTTAACACTGAGTGTGACTCAAACCAGCTTTTTTCCTGAAATTCTGATATTCAGATTCAGTCACAAACAATCAATATGAGATCAGTATGATGTGGTTTTATTTGGTTGTCTTATATTTCATTGGCTAGACGTGAATGAGTGTGCCTTAGGATTGGATGACTGCAGGGCCAACCAAGTGTGCCAGAATCGGGAGGGCTCTTTTGAATGTAGATGTCGGCAAGGATTAGAATTCAATGAAGTCACCAGGGAATGCGATGGTAAATTCTTCCCCTTTTAATTGAATTTCTCAAGTTTTGGAGCAATTCTTGACAAACTGAAAATCTTGACTTGCACGACAGAGGTATGCTTTTTGTAGCGAAAGTGTTGAATGAGTCATACACCTTTATACAGCTGGCAAAAATTTGTCAGAACACCAAATTGTCACGGTTATGTTTATCAAATTATCAAAAATTGCTAGCAGACGTTGTTTTGCAGTAAGAAGATAAGAGCTTAATAAAAAGTATCTTTTCAGAGCCAGTTATGACATAAAAATCTCACAAAAAAGTCCTTTATATAGGTACCCAAACCACTTGTACCTCTGCAGAAATTTCCTTGGTGACACAGCTTGGCTTTTTGTGAATCAATTTTCACAGACATCAATGAATGTGAGAGTACCCCACCAAGGTGCCGCTACCATGAGCAGTGCTTCAACTATGAGGGATCATTTGCCTGTCAACAGCGTTGCCATGTCAACTACAGATACAGTGAAGAAGAGGGTTGCGTTGGTAGGATGTTTACGTCGTCAGAAACTGAGCTAGTAGCAACTCCAATGTAGTTCTCCAATTTTATGCATGTCAAAGACTTTCACTACACCAACATCCACCGTTTAGACGGTTACATATCTCATCAAGAGTTATATAAGGGGGCCTGATCATGAGTGGTGATTAACATCCCAGGGTTTTACACCTGTGTTTAAATTGTGACATCTTTCTTTGAAGTGATATTACTGTCAGAAGTGGTTTTAAATATTTTGTGCATTTTCTACACTTGTACATGTATTAATTTTTAGGGTCAGTTTCACGAAGCCAGAGATCACAAACCATGTTCATAAAAGTTCATAATTGCTTTTGCTCATGTACATAACCAGTAAATTTGTTAAATGCAATATTTTTGATCGGCTCCACCTGAGAGAGCCATGTTAATTCCCTCAGAATTGTGTTAATAATTATCTTCTTCTTTGTTTGACTGTGATATAGACATCAATGAATGTGAACAGGAACCATATCCATGTTATGGGAACTTGCAATGTGTTAACCAGCCAGGATCATTCCGATGTCGACAGTGCCCTCGTGGTCAGATAGCCAATCGGGAAGCCAGGCAGTGTGAAGGTAGAACAATGTACACTTTGATCTTTGATTTCACAGTACAGAGCTTCCATTTCAGCACAAGGCATATACTACAGAAAAAAAGAAATTCTAAACAATTCTCTTCATTTCATAATGATTTATTGTAGCATGGCAGAAGAGTATTACACATGGAACAAATGAGTGTTCTGTCAATTTATTGTAAAATGAAAACAATAGCATGTCTTCCCTTATTGAACTCAGAGGTAATCTTCATTTGGCTTTGTTTGAATCATTTTCAGATGTGGATGAATGCAAGTACCGAGGAGCCAATTGCATGGGAGGATGCAGGAACACCATCGGCTCCTACATGTGTACCTGTCCTCAGGGTTACAATTTGGTCGGCAGGTTCAGCTGTAGAGGTGGGTGGATACATTAAGTTAACCTAGAAGTGAAATATTTGTAGAATATAGTTTATCAGTACTAGACATCCTGTAGAGCACTAAAGACACCCTTCATATTGCTACACAAGAGTGACTTGGGCAGATGGATCTTAAAAAATGCCCAAGCACATGAGGCGGATGTCGGACAACTCAACTGTATGTGATAGAGATACCACAGTTACCACCAAATCAGTTTCAAATTTCAAACTTTTAATTCAGACGTACAGGATTGACGAAAGTGGTGACACTTTTTCTCGTTCTGGATCGGTTTCCGGAAAGTAACCACACAAGCGGCAAATCTATTTTTAGCCAGAACCATTGTAAAAAGCTTATTTCTAATGAAAAATTTCTCAAAAATTTAGAAAAACTTGGTTCATAAATAAGAATTCCATTGAATTTTAAAAATGGAATCTTGTGTAAATTTTGACGCAAATTTTTCAGCTGCACAGCGCAAGCCATCAACGATACTACCTTGTGCCGCACAGCTGTTCTCAAAGTTCTCAAAGTATATTGCATGCATGCACTTAATGCGTGATCCAAAACTAGGAAACAATATGCGTTCATTTTTCCACCAGTTTGTATAAAATGCAACTTTGAAAGTCATTTCGATTAGTGCAAGAGTTCAAATGACCGTTGAGTATGAAAAAAGAATTTGGGATCGCTCACAGTGAGTGACATATATTGCCCTAGACTATTCGTCATTTTTTTCCCGCTACCGTTCCAAAATGTCAAAGTGCAAATCAGAATTCTGGCCATAATTTTCCGAGAGCAAGTTTTGTTCAACGAGAGGTTTACATTTCACTTTTAAACCAGAACATGTCTGAGAATGTAGAATTGAAGGACAACACCAAGGAGGTAGGTTTTTATTTCAAGCAATCCAGAACTAGGAAAACGAATGTTATGCATACGGGCCATATAAGTGCAGCGTGGGTGCAAGATCAGTTTATTGCGCAAAGATCGACTTACTACATCCACCACTTTTAAAAATACATCAGAAATTAGGCTTGTCTATAACTACTACATGAAATTCCATCCCATCAGTAAGGCATACATGTACAGTATTTGACACCATGGCCTCAGTAGATGACTGGGCTGAGTAGACAGTGTCTCAACGGACGACTTGTCTCAGCGGTTAACTTTTCTCTTCCTTTTACACACGAACGATCGAGTTGTCTCAACTTTCAAGTTGTCCAAAGTCAAGTTGGCTAACGGTGGAGTTGTCCAGACCATCATGAGGCATGCACTTCACATTTTGTAACACTTTTTCACACGAGAATCAGAAGTTCACAAAATGGACTGATATTCACCATGCAAAGTGGAATGGGTAACATTGGAAACCCCCCTAACCCCGTCCTTTCATGACCAGGGTTTCTATAAGACAATGTGTTGGCAACTTACCAACCAAAATAATTGCCTGTGCAAAAGCTATCAAAGCCTTACAGTGATTACCATGCATGTGCGCCACCATTCCTAATTAGTTTCAGGAACATGTAATGTGAAGTGAGTTGACAACAAATCCATTAATTGAACCTAAGTGTCACTCTGTTTTGAAATGTGGTGTCCATTACCATTTTTCTTGGAATACCTCACATTAAATTTTCCAGCTACTTGTAAAGTATGTTGTGTTGTGTTGTGTTGTGTTCTTTGATGGAAAACTGGTGTTGAATTTTTCATGAACTTTATGAAATGTTGTGGTGTCCCTGCTACGTGAGATCCCACTTTTTCTTGAGGAAATTTCGAATATTTCAAAAGACTCCAAAATATTTTAACCGGAGAGTTACATTCATCATTAACTAACTGTTCAGTTTCAGATAGGGTCAATTGATATCAGGTTTTTCAACCACAAAGTCACACTGCATTCCTGCCCAGAGAATAGGATATTTTGTGCATAAATACATGTATCCCCGAATGCCGGACATCTCATTTAACTCAAATGTTCTTTGACTGATATGAAAGAAATTGCCACCAAAACAGTCAGAAGGCTGTTGACAGACCCTGTGCTCAGACGGACCCCTTAATACTATCCACATGGATCAGGTGTTAATGTTTAAAAGAGGGATATGGACATTCAGAGAAAATGTTTGTTTTGGGTGTATATGCCTGATGTTCTTTAATATGTGAATAAGTTGTTACAACTCGAAAACTATTCGAAAGTCAAGTCTACAGCAAAGGACATAGAATAAATACCATCCTCTTTCAAAATAGTTACAAATGCTTCTTTCTTGTCTGTCAAAGATATAAATGAGTGCCGTGTAAACACCCACAACTGCAGCTCACAGTCAGACTGCTTTAACACCAGAGGTGGATTCAAGTGCAGGAGTATCCAGTGCCCACAGCACTACCGCAAGGAAGTTGAGTAAGTATATGCTTACATCCATCAGGAAGTAGTCCACTCCACTCATCCTTGCCAAACAGTCACTACATATGCATGTAATTCTATTCGCTTGTAACTTGATCAACCGTAGTGGGCCTTCTATACCCACAGTGCATAGTGAAGCGGTCGCCATGTTCTTCCTTTTTCTTAGCACCATTTCTTACAGACGTGTCATTTTTGGCATCAAGTTTTGGTTTTGTTATCACGTTCCTGTGATAATTTGATCATCCACTGCAGAGTGGATATAAAATAGCGGATTGTTCGGATAGAATAGTGCCTGCTCTAACACCCAGCCTGGCCGACTTGGTGTTTAGCCAACCTCCACACAGTTGTCAAAGTTGTCACCCACTGTTGTTGAATTTGCATAGGTTTTTAACAAAGACGAATTACATTTTTCATTTCACATTTTCAATGAGTCAGTTACTAGCATGATTGATTCAACTCCTTCATACCGGGAGCCGTCCACAGCCACTGCTTTGTGTGAGGATTAGTGCATACCACACATATATTCTATTCATCATGCACCTGCGGTTTCAATGTGGGCCTGCTGCTGGACAAGGCTTTGCATACTGGGTATACCAAAGCCCAGCAGTCACGGTCAAAAGAATCCCAGCGTGAAGGGTTAATACCTGAAAACAGTTGCAAAATGTTACGTGCCGCCTCTGTGTACAATGTAAATTGTTCCAAAATCAACAACTCATTGAACTGTCACTGCATTTACAGGAAATAATGTCTAAACTGGATTGCATGACGCAAAAAACAATTGTATTTAACATAATATCAACCAACCTCACGGACATGGGCTTTGAAAGGACCCCAAAGGAAATCAAAAACAAAATGAAAAATCTCAAGAGAGATTATAAGAATATGATTGATCACAACTGGCAGAGTGGTGTGGGCAGAAGGACAATACCATTCCAAGACAAGCTGGAAGAAATATTGGGGGATTGGCCTGCAGTGGAGCCAGTTCAGACTTTCCCCTCAATGGATGTAGTAGGTCTTGAACCACAAGCAGAGATGGAAATTGACATGAATGACATAAATGAAGACGAGGTGGATCTACATGTAGATGAGCATGCACGTTTGAGTTTTGCACGTAATGGCTGCCATTTTGCTCCAGTGCACATAATAAGTGAACTATGCACATAACCTTTGCTTCAAGGTTGCAGCCCTTCATCGATGCTACGTGGGATCAGGATCAAGCATAAATGCAGGAACAGATCAGATCCCCCTCGCTTGATTGCTCTCGCCAGATCAGATCCCCCTCGCTTGATTGCTCTCGCCAGATCAGATCCCCCTCGCTTGATTGCTCTCGCCAGATCAGATCCCCCTCGCTTGATTGCTCTCGCCAGATCAGATCCCCCTCGCTTGATTGCTCTCGCCAGATCTGATCCTCCTTTGTAGCGTAAAAGTGTAAACGCTGCGTAAATTGTACACATATAGCAAGTGGTTATTACGTGCACAGTGTCAAAGTCCCATGTGATGCATCGTACAGGAGGTTACTGCAAAGCATGTGGCATATTCAACGTTGGCAACTCATAACTCTGCACAACGCGCTTCTTCCACTTTGTGCATTTAGTAAGAATAGGCCAACTAAACTGTTGGCACTTGGAAAATTGGCATTTTAAAAATAATGAAACAGAGAAGAAAAATAGAACTTACCCCAAAACTACCAGTTCACAGTTTTAATTTGCTGTCTGTAGACGCCATTTTTTGGCACCCTTACAACTTTGCAGTGCTTTGACTTGAAGAACAAGGCCATAGTCAGCTGACGGGGCAAGCAAGAAAGTGATATCGTAATAGTCACATCTCAACGGTACAGCAATATTATGATAAGTCACCCAGTTTGGATAAGTGGCCCAGTTTGGAATAATCAGAGAAATTCAGAAAAGTTTTCACTATGGTTGCCAAGCACCGCCAAAAGGTAGAGGGAGAACTTAACATGTCATATGAGTCCGTAATTAAGAAAGAGTGAACAGTGGACTCATGCAGCTGGGAGTTGCACATTCTTTATTCATCCTGAGTAGAAATGCACCCACATGTACACCCAACATAGACTGATCATACGTGCCTAGCACGCCTCACATCAAATGCGCATAATACTTTGGGTTCCCATCAACGGATAGTCATTTCCGTGAAAAAAACATGCCCTTTCTTGTTTCCAGTCATAGTAGATAGCATCAACATCTCTTTACTAAAATCTCAGCACAGAATGTGTGAATTTGAGGGAAAATGTAAGACTTTTGGGACAAGATTAAGAACATTTTGATGTATTTAAAAGAGGGTAAAGTTGGATTTTAAAACTCTGTGTCAATTTCCGGAGAAATTGGGATGTTTTCCCCAAGCCATGAAAGGTGTAACTTAAGTGTACATGTCACTTGCATCTCTGCACAATGCACTATTATTTTGTGTTTTATTCTGAAGTGATGTACACTTGCACCAAGTGGCTTGCTTTTTCCAGTGTAATAATGTCACATGACATGACCCCATGACCCCAAAATGTTGTGAAGAAATTGTCACACTGTCTTTGTATTTTCTTTTTTTCATTTTTCATCATCTTGTTTCATTCAGTGTTGTTGAAGCGGTATTTTAGCTGAAGAAATTATCACTGTAGTATCCTCCAAATTTTTTCCCTTCTTAGTTTCTCTAAAGTCATGTATTTGTATGTGTACATGTCATGTGATAGAAGACATGTTTAATGATAAGGCAGGATTTCTTGACAAAAAAAAGACACAACCAATCTTTTCTTTAATGCATGAACGCTTTGTATAAATGTTTTGTGGCTCGCAATTGTATGTTGGTTGAAGGAGAAAATGGGTCATGATGTATCTTATGATTACAAGGTAAGTAGTATGGTTGTCAAGAAAATCCTATGGAGCTGGCTGGGTATGGGTCCTCCCAAGGGTGTCTCACCATATCTGATTTATGGACAAGGGGTGGGTTGCAAGAGGAGGAATATTTCTGAAAATGTCCCAAATGATTCTTGTTCATCATTTTGTTTAAAAAAAATTGGAAAGCATAGGATTGCCAGTTTGTAAAGCGAAGAAGCTTCAATTCTTAAAAAATGACTTAAGAAATGTCCATAGGAAGCTTGATTTTAGTTCCCTTCTTGCTCACTTGTACCACACACCAAGAGATGATGTGGGCAAATGGGTTCGAGTGAATTGACTCTAGGTGCCCTTAAAGCCTAGTTTCTACATCAATGTAAAGAGCTGCAGACAGCATAGCCAAACAGCCGCTGATGGTATGCAATCACGAGAAACACTTTGTCGCTACTGTTACAGAGATGCAGATATTCTGTAGTTAACAAAATCAGTGTTGTAGCCGAGACCAGATACAAGACTATGCACAAGACCAGTCAGAAGTATCAGGTTGAACAACGACAAAGGAATGCTTTTGTTGCAGTTCATTTGAATGGCTTGTGACTTGACTTCAGAGTGGAGGTCTTGTGTTGGTTTTGTGCTGGTCTTGTGATGGTCTTCATTGGTCTTGTCTACAACACTGGACAAAATTGTATCGTGTTCACTCTATTTTCTAACCGATCTGAGAGTATAAGCCAATAGAAACATGTGCTGGCATGATGGATGTACAACGATGTCTTTATTGCTCCAGTACCATGCATTAATTTAGCCCATTTTCTCCTCGTGACTAAGAAATGAAACCTCAGTTGTCAACAAAATAGCTTATCATGAATGAAATTCATTGAATTGTACCACTTTAGCTACAATGTGCAACCCTCTAAAGAAGGCATTTTCCCCGGTGGACAAAAATTTGCAGAATTTCAGATGCCATTTCGTTCGGGGGGGGGGTGAATGCATCATGCGCCGTCTCTTCTACAAGTACAACTGTCTATATCTTGATATATTGCACGTCATCAGAGTGTCTGTGATTGTGATGACCATGTAGAAACTAGGCGTAAGATATTCATGTTGGTGTTGGCAGTTTTATTACAATCAGTGTCTGCGTTCAGGTATACATGTACATGTATGTTGCAAAGCATGCTTTCAGTCTATTCATGACTCCCTATGATGGAGTGGTATCCTGTAGACAGAGTATGTCTAGCTGTTCCTTTCTGCACGTCTCCCTGCCTGCCAGACATTGCTTGCATGCTGTCCATGACCATTTTAGTGTCAAGGTGAGTGTGTTACTTTCTGTTTTTCATTTTACCCAATGTTTAGAAATTACAGTGTGGATTCTTTCTTTTGGTTGCTTTTTATCACCCTTTCCTAGTGACTGTCTCCCATTTTCTTGTATTAGAGACATGTTATCAGGAAGTAAGCATGTTCAAATAAGTGGCACGTCTGTTTCATGTACTATAAACATTTCAACTATAATTGCAAATGCTTCTAGTGTACCAACCTGAAAAGACATGCATAATCCTGCAGGTGACCTGCATGGTGGTTAGAATTTCTTAAACATTTAAGTGTTGTGTGAGAATGTTTCCAAAAATTAAAAAAAAATTCAAACACAGATTCCCTTCCCTACATCCAGACAGTGACTAAAAGTGGTATTTTGTATGACTTTTCCAGCTCCAACAAGTGCGTACGGCGTCGATGCTCCATCCTAGACTCTGACTGCCAGAACCTCCCCCTCTCCATCTCGTACAACTACATCGCCTTCTCTTCCAACTTCCTGGCCCCCGCCGTGCTCTTCAAGATTGCCACAGTCCCTGACCGTCGCTTCAGCTACCACTTTAAGTTCCTGGATGGCCACGAAGGTGGCGAGTTTGCCCTGATGCAGAGTGCCTATGTGGCAACCATCCAGGTGATGCGGAGCATTCAAGGCCCCAAGGAGTATGCCGTGGATGTTGAGATGGAAGTCTATCAGAGAGGAACCTTGGCCGCACGATATGTTTCCAAGATCTTCTTCAATATCGGGGAGCATCCCTTTTGAGAGATTTGTGGGCTGCCATGTTCAATCAGCTCAGCTGCACAAAATGACTGGCCAATTAAACAATTTTGGAGTGTTTTCTTATACTGCAGCTTAACAGTCATAATTTTGTTCCTTCAGCATGTCCAAAAATATAAGGACACATAGAATTTTAAAATTTTTTATCAACATCATCTGGTTTTAATTGTTAATTACTTGTTTTATGTGGTTATTGCATTCATCCACTGGTAATGTGCCATATCAGAAGTTCACGTATCTCTTCAAGAAAATCTGGGATCCATTTTTTTGTTCAGTTTTAACATAAACGTTGTTCGTTTAACAAAAATGAACTTTTTCTATGACAATACTCTGTTGCATTGGTTTCATCAATTTGCAGTCAACGAAACAAGATATAGACTCTAGTACTTTTACATTTATCAGCAGCATGTGTACTTACTTCCCTGGCACTTACTCATGATGTTATCACTGGTTTAGACGAGCATTGCATATGTGGCAATAGAGTACCGAAGTGTGACGTCACTGTGAACAAGAAAGTGCAATGCAAACGAATGGAGTACGTGTGCGTGTTGGTTCGTGTGCTGGTTCTCGTGCTTATGCCTTTTACACACTAATTGTGCATGTGATGTATTCACTTTGGTATTCTATAAATGATTGATCTTGGGTTGCTCAAGGTGCTCCAAATGGGTCAAGTAGTCATGTAGAGTTTAAATATGCAACACGAATTTGAACTATCAAAAGACAGGAACATACAAACACACACATATATAATAAGAGTATATCTGGCCTTAAATGGAGGGCTTGTGGTAACACCGTGTGGATAGATCTCTTTTGGAACAGGTATGGTTTTGATATGAACCACTGAGTGTGAACTTGATGTTTTGACCAGTGTGCTCAGGTCATCCTTGGGAGTGGAGTGCTGGACTTCGGTTGAGTGCTAGTATTTAAGGGCTATGTGGGGATTGGCTCGGATCCCTGGAGCACTGAGGCATGAAACGGATGCTTGGCTGTGAGGTCAGTGGTGCTCCACCTCGCATCACCAACCTTACAGCCATATTGTTCACTTACATGTTCATGTAATCAGCCATTCTGTTAAACTGTATTGTGGGATATTTTCCTGAGTAACCGGCCCATTAGGTTGGTTACTTGGGCCAGACCCAAGTAAAAGCAAGAGAAGTCACATGAGCATCAAATTGAATGCAGTCATGCTTGTATGAGTTATTGCAGGAGAGTAAATCAAACATGCTGCATGTAGAGACACACATTCTTAAACACTCTACAATTGCTTAATTACTTAATTTTGAATTTTACCCTAAGGTTTTACTCTTTTTGACAGATTATCAATCAAGTAAGATGCATTAAACCAGTAATTTTTCATAGTCAAAAAGCAGCAGCAAAATTCAAACACTTAATTTCAGCGACAAACACATTGAATTTACAAATTATTACTCATGGGTTAATGTAACATTGCAAGCTGTAGTCTATACTTGCATTTTGTAAACATAATCCCAGTGCATATTGAGACCAGTGATTGAGGCCTCTTTCAAGAAAAGGAAACATGCCCATTTACATCCAATCCTGAAATAATAGGCCTATGTCCAGAAAACTACGTAAACCCTTTAAGCTTTACTGCTGGTGACCTGATCTGTGAATGTCACATTGTTTTGAAATTTTTGAGTGGACTCGTATGCAAGCCATTAGCAACAACTGGGTCAGTTGAGCTATTGGTCTCACAGTTCATCTGTTGTGATACGGGTACTGCTGCTTACCCGACTAGTCTTCACAGAAATAGGAAGTTGCACCATTAAGAACTAGTGCAAAATAACTCCCCCCCCCCACACACAGCAATCACTCGTGTTAGTATTTCTGGCTGTTTGATACTACATGTATCAGGACCACAAGAAGAAGCTTGAGTAGCAAGTTGAGGAGTGAAGATCAGAGTTCACACTGTAAAACCTAAAGATAGGAAAATACCTCTTTTGGACTAAAGATTGTTAACGGCAAAACTTATTTTGTGTTTTTAAAATGTAAAGCCAATGTCCTGCCTGTGTCAAGGTATCATGCCTTTTGCAAACCAGGCCCATTGCTTGGTGTCAATAATCTTTGTGTACAAAAAGGTCGAGTCTAGATTATTATGAGCAGGATGATCCAATTGTGTATCCACAGCCAAAGCATGGAAAGTATGCCCAGTTAATGTCATGTAAATGGAAAGTTATGCCCATGTAAATGTCCATGCTTTAATGCTGTCACTTAATTACATGTGCTTGTGACTTAACTGTAAATTACCAATATCGTTCAAAAGTGTCCACTAGATTAGCCATCTGTTGTACTGTTTATGCACTTCAGGAGTCATACGCAAAAAAATTGTCTCACTACGTGTAAAATTCCTGGATTATCCCACAGAGGTGAGGAAGTTCGCTGTGTCAAAGTCTCTCTGTGTCCAAACAACGACTTCAGCTGTATCAATGACCTGGTCAAGCTCATCACCTACAACAAGATCGCTCTGCCGAGTGTGAACGGCGACCTGACTGAGCCCGTGCTGCTGCTCCGCCTCCAGATTAGAGACCTAACCTACACCCAGGTGCAGGGTCTGAGGTTTTTACTGACCCAAGGCAATGAGCTTGGGCTGTTCAGTGTGACAAAGGATGTCAGCCGTGAGGGGTATGACCGTTGGAATGCTGTCGGTGAGTGAAGTCCGCTAGTCCTGCAATGCACAAGCTTTAGACTAGCACTGGTCAGAGAATGTTTCTAAAGTCCATTTAGGCCCAAGGCTGGATTTGGCTTGAAGCCTGGCCAGGGTTGGATCCAGTCACAGGGTGCAAATAAGATTTTTTTATTTCTAAAATGGAGGTAAAAAAAAATTTGTTTTCATCCGTAAAAGAAATCCCCCCTCCCTGGTAGTAGCATTTGGAAAGTTTTGTGCTTTAAACATGTCTCCAGGGGCAAATGGCCCCCTTCCCTTTCCCCCTCCCTTCTGGATACCCCATTGGTCCTGGCTTCACCCCAGACTGAACCCTGAAACAATATTTTGCATCATATGCATCATTGATGGAAGTGGGACAGATTGTATGCGCATCCCATTTGGTGATCATAGGCAACAAAAGGCTAACAAGTTTCCCGTGCTACTAACATTTTCCAAAGTCGCCAACTTGTATCCAGAGTGTGTAACATGTTCAGCCAGAGCTGAAATCTGCCTTTTCTGTGGCAAACTTTCCCTATACTTCTTCATGCATCAGTAGAGAAATCAAAGTTTCACACCAGACCAATAAACTTTTGAGAATCTCAGAAGCTGCTGTACATTCAGTGGCACTTTGTAGACTTTTGGTACCATCATTTGGACATGTACATGAAGCCTACCTGTTGATTATCATTCCAATTTGAGCTAGGAGCCAAACTGGTTTGAGCAAAGATGTACACATGAATGAAATCTTTAGAATTCTCTGGACTGCACTTAGCATTGTTCAGATTTCAGGTGAGAGTGCTCTTCTACATCTGAAATGCCATGTCCCTACCAAGTTAAGATTCTTATATGAGCTCATCTCCACTTCTGTTGTATCCAATTTTAATTTCATAATTTAGGTTCAAGTACCCTTTAGTTCCACATGTACCTTTCTTCTCTTTTAATCCCAAAATATAAGAGTGTGTACAATTTCTGCACATTTCAGACCTTTTTAATTAAGTTCAAATTTTCTATCAAAATGCTTTCAATCCCTTGCTTTCAGAAATTCTATGTAGAATAACTGGAATTCAAGTTACCTACATGCATATTAATTTAAAACAGAGCCAAAAGTACAATTCTTATAACAAAATAAACCAGGGAGAAGACAAAAACCTTACCACACACTGATTTAAATGTAGTTTGTGATCTTTAAGCCATTATTTTTAAATTACTGCAGAAGTTGTGCCCTCAATAACTTTAAATTACACCCATGGATTTGTGAATTGTTTCAAGTGTTCCTACTCTGGCTCAACAAGTCTTCATGTGATTCACCTTCTTAGGGCTTGGTCATTTTTATTGTCCTCTGCATGAGCACTTGGAGGGGAAGGGTTTCCATTCTGTTAAGGCTAATCTGGTTCATCCTTTTCTTGCATATACTTTTGGAGGGGGAGGAAAGTGTCAGTACATAATACATGCTTGTAAAGAGGATATTTCTACAGTGGAGCTCTAGATGACATGTAGCCAACAATAAGTTTTTATCAACCAGTGTCACCTCTTGATGGGTTGAAATTCTACTTTTGCATTATTTGCCAGTGGAATTTCACATACAGACAGTTTTTTTTTCTAAATTTTCTCTCTTATTTTACTTTTTTTTGCGAGCTGCGAAGTAAGTGCGAGCCTATGTAATACCGATTTCCATCTTCTGTCTGTACATCGGTGCGGCCGGCCAGCCGTCCAGACGATAGATGATGGGGAGGGGGCGAGTAGGAGATGAATAGGATGATGGGGAGGGGCGGAGTAAGCGATGGACAGGATGATGGAGGGGTGGAGTAGGATATGGATGGAAAGATAAGATGGATGTGGGATCGGATATAGATGGGATTTGGAGGTGGAGTCAAAGTAGACACGGTAGATATGGGATTGGGATATAGGATGATGGGATTTAGGATGATGAATTGTAGAGGATAGGATGATGGGGTTGGATACAAAGTGCAAAACTGTATTTAACCCTAACCCCCAAGGTTTGCTGGCCCTAACCTTCCCCATTTACACAAAGTTGAGGTATACTAAACCCAATGCAAAAGCCAGCTGTTATGGGCCTACCAGACCTATCCCCACAGAATTAAACACTATACAACCGTTTAATTCTGTGTGATTCGGGAAGGTTAGGGTTAAGAGGAATTTTAATCATCAATCAACAGGTTTTTCTCCTAGAGTATAATGAATTTTATTGCTAAGGTCAATAAAATATCTTGTACATCTGTATTGCAGTCATTTATGTCTTGCATGTCTCTTAACATAAGCTGTTATTACAGGAAAGAATTTAAATTCATAACAAGTGGTGAGCCATGGCGGCTTTGCCATTCTAGTTTCACCAAGTGATCCCATGAATGAATTCTTTGGTGTTGTTTCTTTCAATTCCCCTCTGTGAAGGAACTCTGTACCTGGAGGAGGCCATTGTAGGGCCTTATGAGACAGACCTTCGTCTGGAGATGCAACTCTTTAATGTACAAGTTCAACGAGAGGAGCTGCTTTCTATTACCGTCGCTGTCTTCAGTATCGATGTCAGTCCCAATGCATACTAGAGGCCTCCCCTCCAGACCCCCCCTCGGGATTTAATAAGTAACCAGAACATATCTAGAATAAAGTAGCCAGTTCCATTATTCACAATATCTTGACTAATTGTGGGGCTGTCTTTAATATTTGTTCAAACTTTTCAAACAAATCTACATCCACTCATGTCATACATGAGTTACATGTATGACACCAAAAAAGAAAGTCATAATAAAATGTGAAGATCACTAGTAGTGGTACCCGACAGTATACTGCATAGCTATGACAGTCTGGCAGTACACCAATGATAATAAAGTCAAAGTTACAAGAAGCGCTTGAAGACGTGCATGAAAGATGATCTGGCACTCTTTTGATTAAGCAGTACATCCTGCACAGTGCAGGAGTATCAGGAAATTGGGGGGAGGGGGCATAGGAAAGCAGCTTTACTTCAATGTTCATCTTCATACAACCTGTTTTGCATTCTTGTATGGTCCCAGTGCATGTTGTCAGTCTACATGTATGTATGTATGTAAATATGTCTTGTAGTAGCTTTCTACCATTTTTTACCACTTTTACCAAATATGTTAGTTCGTGTTAAGCAAATTAAGCAATTTAAATCAAGCTACATGCTCCATTTGAAAACTTTTCATTTAAGAAAAAGATTATGTTTACATCGCTCATGTTTAAGAGAAAAGAGGATGTGCGCTTGCTTCTACACTGTGCCTTGGAATGTTTGGACACTATAATACAGCATTACCAGTGCTGCTTGTAATCTGAAGACCAGAGGTACCGAGATTTCTTCATAAAGGCCTGCAGGCAGACAAACTTTTAAAATTGCTTAATCAATCCTTGTATGACCAAACCCTTTATTACAGTTTTTTGCCCGTATGAGTTGCAAGAGGATGTGAGCTACGTGTATGTAAACTCTAAATAAGCAATGTATGGCACTGACCAATAACATTATCTAAGATACAGAGTTACAGCAAAAGTCATTTTGTTAAAAACCAGCATTGCAACTTTCATGTAGCAGATATCCCTTCTGAATGTACATGTACTGTAGTTAATTGGCATCCAATGATAAAATCATTGGGCTACTCACCATCGGAAGTGTTACATAAAAGCGAGTGAGGCCATCTAAATGAATGTCAGTTATTCAGGTCACAGTGGCCACTGAAACTGCACGAGTACTCAGAGACAAAGAAAACTGAATTGACGTTGATGTCGAATTGTTTGAAATTTTGGGCACAAAAGGGGCTAACATAACAGCTCCCCAGCCAACTGTAATCATGTGAAGGAGATCCAAAAATTATCATTTGAGCAGTTTTTCAGAGCATAGAGCTACACATATGCCAAGGTGTGCACTGAGTGGTATTGTTGATTCGATAGTAACTCATGCTGTCTTTTGTGAATGTAATCCTGACAAAATTTCAGCTTTTGTGCACATTTTGACGGAAGACTACCATTCTTTTCAATTGTTCATTTGGTTCATTTTTATTTCTTTATGTTTATTTTTATCGTATCACATTTTGTCATCTATTTTAATGCAGTGTTTTTATCTACTATAATTCACAACAATCAGTGTATCACGTCTCTGTGAGAGAAATAAAGTTCTGAAACTACAACTAACACAGTTGTGGCGCTAGATGAAAGTTGTCATGTTGAAGTCCACCTAGAAGCTCAGCAAAAGCATGCACTTTGTGTTGAGACTATTTCAAAAATTGGTAGGGCCATCTCAAGACACTGAAAATTTAACAGCTTAAACAACTGCTCCTAGGAATGCTGAAGGTCAAAGGTTAACCCTAAAAGGGCCAGGGGGAAGGAATCTGTTCTCAGCATTTTTTTCTCATATCGCCACAATGCATTTTTTTTTTCACAAGCTGAGCCTTGAGGAGTTTGTTCTGTCACACTTTACAGTCATTTTGATATCAATTTGGTGAAACTCAAAAGATACTATTCTCACACCGCACCCATTTTTCTGAGAGAGGTCAGGCCAAAATATACGCTTTTCCAAGCCACAAAGCCAGCAACAGCTGGGATGGAAACCCACGTAGTCAGTACTCCGGTCTCTTGGTGGCTTTGTAACTTTACCCAATGCCACTTCAGCCATGATTACCTTGATGAAAGGCTCAGGGTTTTGGAAAAGCATGGCACACAGTGTGCACTAGGCCTTCAATACACGTGTCGATGAAATTGTTATTTACTAAATGGCTTTATGTTAAGAAATTCCTCAACTCAAAGTTGCCAAGAATGTGGCAGAAGTCTTGGTTGATGTTTAGGAAAATTGGGGGGGTATCGTAAATGAGATGATTACAATTTTTTTCAAATCTAAATCAAGGAGACTAGAAGGTAAATGTACCACGGTTACATGGATTTGAATAACAATGCAACAGTGCTGGGAATCCAACTACAGTTAGATGTAATGCCCCCTCCAAGAAGAAAAACACTCCTAGTACACTCTCCTGTTTGTGCCGAAAATCTGATACTTTAATACGTGGCACTGACCTCTCGTTTTACAGTCCAAACTTGAAATTTACAAACTGTTGATTTTACATGCAATTACTTTGGATAGAATCTCTGATTTCTATATCTGAATACTTCATGAATCATGCAGGCATCTCAAATTTTTGTTTGAAGAGATTTCCGTGAAATGTAACGCTACTTGGAAGTAAGTCATGCTGTTGTTCTGAGCAACAATGAGCAGCAATACACATGGGTAGGGTCTACACGTATTTTCACTGGGCCCACAGACAACAAAGATCTCAAGCTGCAGTCAGCAGTGTTGATGAAATGCCCAGGCACCATGCAGCAATCAGTAACACGACAATGAGCACAAAACCAAGAGGGGTGTACTGTACAGTCAGGTCACACAACCTGTACATTTACATGACGTAGTACCGTGCATGGGCCTATGATAAATGCATGTACATGTGGTTTACGTACACTACTCCTGCAAATGAAGAATAAAATCCTTGATACTGAACACCACAAAATGCTTTATACCACCACAGCCGATGTCATGTCTACATCTTGTGTTCGGTCTTGCATTCCTTTCCATCATGGTGTGACCAAGCCATAAGACATGATCCCTAGTTTTGCAGTAAATTGTTTCGGTTGAATTTTTAAACATGATTATTTCGAACCAAACACAACTCTGTCCAAATGTTCTCTTCTAACATTTTCACAATGTTACAAAGAACGGAGCTCCTGGATCATTAGCAAATGGTTTGAAAATGAACACCAAGATACTATTAGTTATCACATGGGTGGGAGTGGAACACGGAATAATGTAGTGCATCTGTGTCCCAAAGGCCTCACGACATATGGGACACAGATCACTACATTATTTCATGTTCCACAAGCATGACAATGAATTTATCTTCAAGCAAACGAGCGATAAAGATATTATTGGGGCCTATGTGCACAAGCCTGCCACCTTTGAGTCGAAATTAATTATTGCAGTTGTGCGTTTTGCTTTTAGTGTAAAATGTCACATTGTGAGGAGTTTGAACAGCGCATTACTGAGGTTTGATATGAACTGTGCAATACCGTTATATGTCACACTGTTTGTTTCCACGGATCAACTAATCACCATTGAGAATTCAAGGTTTCCTGAAGATAAAACAGTTAAATATCAGCCAAGTAGTCACCTAATGTTTTTCTGGGCAAATTCTACTGCCTGCCAAGTAAATTTTCCAATTAAAGCAATGTCATGACTTTTCAATACTCTTATTTGGGTTACATGTAGTTACATGTAATTCTATGGTTCTCATTTCCCGATTGAGGGAAAAAAAACATCTTTTTTGCAGCCAACCTTGTCTGGAATTTCTTTCTAAGAAACATCACACAATATTAAAAATTTGGGGAGGAGCAGTAAATTTCTTGTACCCTCTTGGTTTGCCCCACCGGCCAACCCTCCTTCAAAGAAAAACAATATGTGAACCACAACATCAATTACAGATGCCAATACTAATTGTAACAGGAACACTGCATAAAAGAATAGAAGAATTTACCTTCCAGCTGAAAACCACATTTTCATATACATGTATACTTCTGGTACATGCATTTCTTACGTCATAAGTTCAACTTATGTCCTTATCCACAGAGGTAGACTTGGGTTGGGTAGACACGGGCTGCATCCGAATCTGTTGTCTAGAGCTAGGTCTAGGTCTTCGCTCCATTGGAAATGTGTGGAGACCCGCAGTCAATAGACCTAGCCATAGCTCTGGAAGCCTGTTTCGGACACGGCCCTAGACTGAATTCTAATAGCAAGGAATTGACCACTCTCATATTGCCTACTATGTTATGTATGGGTCTGCAGAGACTTGCAATCATATCAGCCCTTTGCCAGAATGAAAAGCAGTACTTACTCTTATCTTTATGTCCCCCGAGGACATAAATATGAATAGGTAAAAAAAAGTGAACTACCGTTGCATGGACCCAACATGGTGCTTTTGTCCTAGTCTTGGTCCAAGACTGGATTTGGATTGTATTCCTGTAACAACCTTAATCCACCATAGAGGACACTATCAAGAAACCAACCCACACCCGTCTAGACAAATCCAGCAGGTCTGCTCCAGTTCTGAGCATATCAAGAAACAGACTCACACCGGTCTTGACAAATTGAGCAGATCTACTCTGGTTCTGAGCATATATGTACATGTACCTCACATATGTGATCGCAAAATCCTCCAAAGATTAACGAAAGACAGTACTCATATGCCATGCATTGATTCCGCTTCATGTGTCAGGTATGCTTGAAATTCTTCAAGTAAGCCTGTTGAATTCATCAATGCTGGATTCGGTGCAGCTTCTTGATAGCTCCCTCTATGATCAGCTTGGAAACTGCAATACCACAGGCAAATGAAAGTTCAAGGAAGAGCATTCAAGGCAGCCATAAAAGAGGAAGCACTGGATACTGAAAATGGCATAGGCCATCCAGCCTCCCCCCAAACTGATGTGTTCACAAATAAAAATGCTCCATCAAGCAAATGCCTCAAACCAGGACTTCAATTTGCGATTGCAAAATTTCTATTGTGAACTCAGCCCTTGACCTTTCAGTCCCAAATGTAACTGGCTTCACCAAGAGCAGTCTACAACCAAATTTGAAGTCTATATGTCAATTAGTTTCCAAGTTATTGGGCCAACATGATTTTATTTGAGTCATTGCTACTTTGACCCTTGACCTGTCGGCCCCAAATGAAAAATCAAACATGGGAGGAGGACGTGCAGGGTGCCTCCCTCTGGATCTGCTACTGAATGGTGACCTTTTCCTTATAAAGATGCCTCCGGTGGTGGGCTATCAGGGAGTATAAAGGGGCAGACCCAAGCAGAGTCTAAGAGGCAAAAACAATCAAACTACAACACTGCTGAACTACTTCCCACAGACTGACCAAAGCAGCATGTTGAAAGCAGCCAACCTTAACCATGAAACAGGTGTTAACCGTCATCAACCTTTGCATAATATCAATTCTGATAAAAGATCACATAGATAATGTAATATTTCCTTGATTTCAAAACTTTGTGGCAGGATAACTTTACATAATCACTCAGGTTCAACAATGGTATTGACCGGGGCCGTCAAATTTATGACAAAATCTACCGAGGGTGGGGGTGAAAGATTTTAAGATGGAACACTGTCTATGGCTGCATTCGGATGGCTCCATCCAATCGTATAACCTCAGCATTTATCATGGGATTCTCTACAATAAACTGGACCATGTGAGCGAACTCATCGGGGTGACCGAGGCGACTGGGAAAGGGAATCATCCGAGCTAGGAAGGTCCTGACTTTCTCTGGTAGGGCGGCTAGCAGAGGCGTGTCAAACAACCCTGTTGGAGTGAAGCAGATAAATGGTATCATAATACTAACTGCGCTTTATTCAGATATCTCCCGTATAAAATGAAACAACTGTACAGGTTTGGTCAGAAAGAGCATCTTTTAACATGGTGTTTTAAATTTTCTGTACATACATGTACTTGCTAAAACAGCCTCTGTCAGTTCTAGGGCTATGAATGACAATCTGTACAGTTTTATCACCCAACACCTCAGCAAATTCTGAAACAAACTTTTCAAACACAGCAGCACAACATTCCATAAATCAGCTGCCATTATAACAGGAAATAAAAGCTTTGTTTTTGTGTCTTAGAGGTCCATTCTTTTCGTGTCCCCGTCACATCCAACGTATGATTTTGTCAGTTCAAAACACATTTTTCTGATTTTCAAATTACTTGCCAAACAAATACTAATACTTTGAAATCAATTCCGGTGATGGTTTCCATAACTAATAACAAAAGTCAGATGTAACAGGGACTCGAAAATGTCACACTTTTGGACCCCTAATTTCTGGAATGACCCATAAACTAACCGTAAGGCAGGACTATGTTCGTGTGGCAGTTTATCTTCTTGGTCCTGCTTATTCGTGTAATTAATCATGTTTCCTACTCAACTAGCTGATCTTCCTGTGAGTACAGTTTATGACCGACCATTACCCATTGTGTATACCCAGGAGTCATTGTCAAGACTGAGGTCAACCGTCAGAGCCACACCCAGTCTGGAGGCGGACATTCCCTCAAATTCTTCCCAGTATAAAAGGGACAGAAAAGGAGGCATTAGAGTGCGACTTCATCGGGGAAAAATACAACAGTCCCCTACCTTCAGTTATTTTCGGTAATACCCAAAGCCCTGGGGACAAACTTGACGAGTTGAAAAACTACAAGCACAAGCTACCAATATGAATTCAAAGGAAGCTGTTTAATGTGCTTCAGTGAAACCTGGTTCCATTGCACTGATACCACTTTTGACACGAGTATTGATGGCTTTTCATGTGAACATGAAGACAGGACTGCAGAGCCTGGCAAATCTACCAGGGGTGGCACATCCATATATGTTAACAAGCATTGGTGCAGGTGTATCGATATATGCATTGTTGAACATTTATGCTCATCTGATATCCAACTGCTTACTGTTGGCTTGAGATCTCATTACCTTACACAAGAATTAAACCCAACTATTGTGACAACTGCTTATATTCACCCCTCTGCTAATGCTGACGTTGCCTCATCTAAACTCACTGAAATCATAAATAATAATCTTGAAACAAAGGCTCTTGATGCACTGAAGTTTGTTTAAGGTGACTTGAATCACTGCTGTCTTAAGCATATGTTAAGGTTCCCACCAGGAAAGACAGGTGCTTGGACAAAAATGCAATGACAACACTGGCACCGCTTACAAGGCATATGGAAAAGCAGGTCTCGGCCTCTCTGATCATAACATTAATCGTCTTCTTCCGGCATATAAACAAAAAGCTGCAACAAAAGGAGCCCACCATTACAAGATCCAAGAAGTGGAGAAGAGAAAACATTCCAGCCCAAAATCATGACTCAAAACACTTCACATGCTTCACTGAGTTAGTTCACAGAACTGGATTTTTCCTTTTGAGTAGGTATTTTCCGCTTCTGTGTCGATTTTCAGGACTCATTTTCTGTGAAGCGTAATTTTCTGTTGGACCATCACCAGGCTCAGGCAGCAATGGCCAGTCAGCGTAGGCACATCATTCATGCTGAAGTACCAATGCCCCGTACAAAAGTCATCACATCGAAATGTAGGAATGTTGTAAAAGAAACCATTTTACATGTTTATTGTGTCTGGGACTTATTATTCTGAGCACTGCATCCGAAAAGCACCGTAAACAACAGCACTGTCACCAAAGTTAAATGGAAACAATCAATGAAAAAACAGCTGGGAATGCAAAAAAGAGCTTTTTTTCCCGGGGAAGAGTTATACCTGAGAGTGCTGTAGTGGCAATCTACTGTACTGACCAAACCCTTATCTCCTTTTTCCTCACTAATACAAGAGCACTGGTCTCCATACATGCTTGTCTGCTTGTGGGCACTTTTCAATACTATAGTTGGGTCCACTGAAAGTCCCTGCAAGTCTATTACAAGTCAGCCAGTCTTCAGCCAAGTAGCAAACTATTGTGAGTGAGCTGAGACAAAAAGCATTCGTTTGTCACTGCTCACCCCATTTTATTTATGACCGGTCTTGTGATGGACTCGGATCTAGCATGACACCTACCAATATCCCTCGGTCCTTTTCACTTACCTGGTGCTATGGTACAGACTCTGATACCTTGTGAGGCAAGGTCCCGGGCGATCGGTAGGGTCATGCCAACGATGGCACCCTTGGAGGCTGAGTATGCTGCCTGTCCAATCTGCCCATCGAAAGCGGCCACACTGGCTGTGTTGATGATGACACCGCGTTCGCCATCAGGGCCGGGGTCATTCTTGCCAATTTCACCTGCCGACTGGCGGATGACATTGAAACTACCAACAGTGTTCACCTGAGCGATTATATAGAGGGCAAAGAGAGAAAAAGAACAAAATGAAAGCCACTTGTCTTTAGGGGTGTAACGAAGCATAAACGATCATGATACATGAATGCTATGATACATCATCAGGATATCATAATAAATACTTGGCTGAGAAAGATTTCCAACACAATAGACTATTTAAAGTATACAGAAGTCCTCTTTGGGACATCACATCTCAAATTGGGAGGAAAATTCACCACTGGCAATTGCACAGTGTATGAAGGTTGACAATACCGAAATGGAGGGAACTGCTTTGATTTCTAATTTGAGTGTATGAAACCTTCAAACATCACCTTGAGGGCCTATTGGGGAATACAATACCGCACAGTAAGAAGGATCAGAACAGCACAGTTGCTGGTACTTTATGAGGTTAGTTACCGGTAGGCTTGGAAGTAATCACTTGGGACTCAGCCTGACTTAATCAAGATTAATGTAGAACTTAACTTATGGGAAAACTTCCCTTGCAGCTTCATCGGGGAAAAATTGACTAGTGATTGACTGGTGAGCAGATGGCTTCGATTTGGTCACAATATTGAACGCACTACTTTCTAAGACACATGCTGCAGTAATATTTGAGTGATACACATGATTACATTCTCATTTGAATAACATTGCATAATGACCATCTGAGACCAATGGCAGTATGCAAGACATACATGAAGCAAAGTCATCGGACACCTACCGTAAGCACTCTCTGGAACTCCGCTAGGGGGTGAGCCCGGTTTTTGTTGAAGTTGTAGGTTTTAACAGCGATACCGACCCCAGCGCAGTTCACCGCCAGGTCTAGCCGACCAAATGAATTCCTAGCTGTTGCAATGGCAGCACTCACTTCAGATTCTGATGTGACCTGAACACATTCATGAAGTACACAAGAATAAATTAATACGATGTTGAATTCAAAAATATTTTTAAAAATCAAGACAAAAATAAAAGTGCCAACTGCTTTGTACAGTGCACTCTGCAATCTAGCAATGAAAGCAAAAGATTTTGTCTTATAAAGTTTCACATATCAAGTTTAACAAAATCAAAGCATGCTTTGATGAACAGAACTAAACACATCATGAAATGTGCATATAAATGTTTTTTAAGACCAATATCTGTTGAGAATTCTAGACAGGAATGTTCACTTCTAAAGACAAAGCTATGAGATACATAAACTAATTTTTATGAAATCTGCCTTTTTTACATACATCTCCCGCAGCAAACTTGCAGTCATCCCCCAGTTCCTTTGCGGTGTCATCTCCGGATGAGTTTGGGAGATCCAAAACGACGACTCTGGCTCCCTGTTTGACCAGACGCTGCGCTGTAGCCTTGCCAAGCCCCGAACCTCCACCAGTCACCAGACCTACCAAACCCTGCAGCCACATGTACAGTTTCAGTGTGTGTTCATGGTTTGTGTAGCTATCATCAGTTTTAAACCTTAAAATAAATTCCTTATTGAAACACTGCTGGTTGTTCATTTCTCTGAAGTTATTTTGGTATATTTTGTATTATGTATTATCGTCTAGAATTAATGAAATTACAGTATATAAAATGTATTTTCTTTAGAGAAATCCATGGCAAAATTCCCTTACTGCGGCCGTTTCTTCTTTGGAAATCAAGTGAAAGGATTCCTATGGGCCTCGAGCTAGACAAAGAAAGGGCAGTATTTTCTTAGCAACAAAGGCTCCTTTGGTGCCAAACTGCACTTCTTGGGTTCACAAACGACTATGAAATGCACACGTCACAGTGGCATCGCTTTCAAAAAAATAAAAACTCCCAAGTGATGCCCTCTTTTCAGCCGATGATGGGGTGCTTCTCGGAAAAGCACAAGTTGGGCGTTCAACTTTCTCCACCAAACATAAAGAAAAAAAGCTGGCCGAACACATTCATATGTGGGGAAAATGGGGCACTCCTATGTTTACAGTCAAATCTGTGACATCACCGAAGAAATGGCCCGGATCTTGAACAGTGAGAATCAAGACTGCAAGTGTCTATTCACTGACTTTGCATCAGGAAGGCACTGGCAGCATCATAAGACCAAGCAAACCCAACAGACTGGATCGCTTGAGGGTCAAAATATCAAGATCAATGTTGGAGGCATACTTTGAGAAACTTCAAGAGGTTGTGGAGAAATACAACCTGCATGACAGTCCTGCCCAGATACACCAGGACCACAAAGCAAGAATCAGGGGGGATCATAAGCCACTGAAATCTCTGGGGCTGAGCCAAGGAACTGTCAATGCTGTCTCAAGCCTACAGAGTCTTACACAAACCATCATTGCCTCTAGGAAAGCCCTGGGGAATTGGCTTACTCCATACATCATCTTCAAGGGAACAAGGGTCAAACAAGTGGACAGAGGGTGCCACGTTTCTTTAATGGTTCAGGTTTTCACTTCCTTCCCCAAGTTGGTTCAATGAGGCCTCTTCTACTGCTTTATGATGGTCGTTCTACTCACATCAGCCTGCAGATCACTGAGAAGGCTAGGGAAGAAGGGGTTCACATATTTGTCATCCCTCCACATACATCACACATCCTACAACCCCTCGGCGTGGGCTACTTTGCACCTTACTACATGTACATACAATGTAGCGGTTCACCATTTCTTCCACAGGCACAAGTACACAGGTTGCATTTCTGGTTGAAGAACTTGCTAGCATGCCGAGCTTACATGATGGGAATCAGCAGTGAAAGTTTAGTATTATCCTCCAGATGCAAAGGTATTTCAACCCTGACATCATGCTGAGCAACCTCCCTGAGCCACTGGGAAGGAGGAATTCTTCCACTCTTACTCTCTTTGCCTCCATTGAGAATTTCTCATCATCTCCAGAAATGTTTGGTAGAAGGCCACACATGATCAGAAGTGCCCAAATGCTGACAGAGGATGAACATTTCAAGATTAAAAGTAACAAATGCAGCAAGAAAATCAAAGGAGTCAACTCCATCAGCAGAGGCAGACCTCTTGGCACCATTATACAATGGGTCACCTCCGATATCTCCCATGTCTCAATCACCGTCACTGACAATCACACCCGCCATTTCAATGCCAAACTGTGCAAGTGTCACCTGCGTAAGCACCTTAGTCCCTGCAACAGCTGGCCACGGCAGCACTGCCAAAATCAGTTACCATCTACGTGTGGATGCTGTCAAAAAACTCCCATTGACACTTCATCAGATGATGGGAGTGACGAAGACGACAGCTGTAGATGGCCAAAACATCGCAAGAAAACTGGTGGTCAGAATTCCAACTTTGGGTTCGCTGTGACAAGTACAGCTGGTTGCACTTAAAGCACTGCTGTAAGAGTGACTATAAAACCAACGGCTGAAGAGGAATTTCTCTGTCCCATTTACAGCATTGGAGTGACAAGAAAGGAATTTTAATGAGCATATGGTCGTATACATGTACCAGTATATGTTTTAATTACTTCAGTGTCATGTTTCCAATCTAGGAGTGGTGACCGCAGGAAGATTTGCATTAATTCAGTCCTCTTACAGCTTTGTTAAAAATTAACCAAAGTTTGTCTTCATGATAATAAAGTTTATATGCCTACCTACATTATGTACATGAATAACGTCACATCACTGCCACACAAAACCTTCCGGGCAATGACTTCTAAGATTCCTCAAGATTTCTGTACAAACAGGACGAATTGTATGTGACCTTAAATAAAAAAGGACAACTGTTATTGTCACACTGGCCCACCTCAATACATGTAGACTTTGGCTTGCTTTTTTTACAGTTTAACAGGAACATGGATTGCTTTGTTCAGTATTTTGTTATTATGCTACAGTATCTTTTGAAATTTCTTAATTTTGTTGATGATTGTAAACTTGTACCAAATATACAGCGTTTTCCTGCATAATTGAAATAAAACTATTTTCACTGAATGTGGTATAGGCTCAGTGTTGTAGTCAAGTACTATTTTCTGAGGACCAAGTATTGCCGAGTACTTTGACTGCCGAGTACAAAGACTGGTCGAGTACTTTGCCAGCCGAGTACAAGTACTGGTTTCCGAGTACAAGTACTCGCACTTTCAAGTATGAGTACGAGTACTTCTCATTCAAAAGCAGTTTTATCTTAATTTAGAGACTCTAAGACCTGCCACTGTGTAAAAGAAACACCGAATGCACATGACATGGCTACAAGAACAAGTGATCTGGCTAGCAATGTCACGGTCACTACATATGCGTTGCAGCAGTTGACACAACGTGCACGGTGCTGCGAAGTCTATTTTCCAGACTTAATTATTCACATGCCTGTGATTTTCTGTATGCTGGGTTCGTCGTTAGAATTTTTGGGTCCAGGAACCAGACTACCAATGCCCAAGTAAATCGCGGGACCATTCTGGAGTACCACAATATAATTTGCATACGTGATTGGTTAAGTACGCGTACAGACAGAGAAAGGGTCGTATACGTTAATGGTCCCACCATTCATTGGGGTCAATTTTTGGTACCTTATTTTAACGGCCGTAGTAAGTTAACTTAAAGGATTTTTTATCGAGTACTGCTAATCGAGTACAAGTACTTTGATGCTCGAGTACAATTTTTGGATGTCGAGTTCCGTTTTTTTGGATGTCGAGTATTTTGTAGCCCGAGTACAAGAACTGTAGTTCGAGTACGAGTACTTGGACATCCGAGTACAAGTACGAGTACTCTGAAAACGGTACTCGAGTAGTACTTGAGTACGAGTACTACAACACTGAACAGGCTACCATAAAATGGTACCAAACCATTTCAGCAAATTAGTGACGTGCGCCGCTTCTGGAAGCCAATGGAAATCACCAAAAATCTACCGCAAAACTGCTAGAAAAGTGCCAAAAACTACAGGCAAAATACTAAATACTGGAAAAAACACAGGCCTAAATACCAGAAAATAGAAAAATTACACCAAATACCGGAAAATACACTAAATACAGCCAAAGACATTTATGGCCTTTTTTCGGCTTATACCAGGAAACAGTGGAAACCAACACTACTATTTTTTATTTATTTTTTTGTCTTCCATCATACAAACCTAGGCCAATCATGCTTATTGTGTTTTCAAATTTTAGAAGGCTTATGCTAAGTTACAAATGTTTCCGGTAGCCTGTTTAGTATTGTTTTGTTTTTTCCAGTGTTAAGCGTGTTTTCCAGTATTTAGTATTTTTCCAGTAGTTTTCAGCAGTTTTCTGGGGTTTTTTTGTGCTTTCAGGTAGTTTTCCCATAAGCCTATAGTAGTACAGTAGGCCTATCATCACCCATTTGCGCAGATGTTCAGCATTGTTCAACAAGTTGTCGAAGTGTGCCACGTCATTCGTGGGAGCGCGGCGGATAACGGACCCCATAGTGCTGGGGGTACTCTATTAACATTAGGCTTCTCATGATACGGTGCAAAATCTTTGCTGCAAACTAATACCACAACTGGTGCACGGAATTTACTGTGGATACACGAAGATGAGCAACCCAAGACTCCTCGCATGCCTAACGCGAGTCACCATACTCACCAACATGTACATTCTGTAAAACAGAAGACGAAACACTCACCCTCAATGATTTTATGCTTGACATTGTACTGATGTTAAGAACACAGCAACTCAAATTTCGGAATGAACAGAGTGTTTTATTTTGCGCCAGTACAAAGTGTGCGAGCACGCACCACATGCAAAGCTGTTTACACGTTGTCTAAATTTTTCGACCGATTGGTGGCGCTTTGTTGATGTCATGTGAGTAGAAATATGGCGGCCTCCATCATGTCCATAGCGCGGGAAAATAACTGACTTTGGAATTGTTGCCACTGCCAATCTGACTGAAGACGACATATTTATTTTCAGCAATGAATATTTTAACTTGGAATATAAATGGAATCCGAGCATCAAAAGTCGCCATCAAAGAGCTGCTGGATTCATTGGATTCGGACATTATCTGCTTGCAGGAAACTAAAGTCACAAGTAAGTAGGTACTACATGTAGGTGGGGGGACTCAAATTCGGGACCCCTGTTGTTAGTTGGCATGGTTAGGGCCTACTAAAAGTACTAACTTACTTTTAAATAATGGTCGGTCCTGAAAAGATTATTACTCAGGCAAGGTCTCTTGATTATCAATGATAATCAAGAGACATTGCCTGAATATCATGACCCTATGGGTACGGGTAGGACATTTGGAAGAGTAAACCGGGAGAAAAAGTGTCTTTCTTACAAACATAGGTACCTAGGCCTATGTCTGTCAACTTAAAGGTTAAATGCACGGTCAACTTGAATGACACACACTCATGGCAGACTGTTGAGCTTTCTGTTTTCTTCAGTAGGCCTACTGTTACTAAAGTTAAGTTAGGGACATGCATAAATGAGTGAGGCGTCTGTTCATTTGGGATCTCATTTTCTTAATACTAATAAAGAATTGTGGTTAAAATTTGTCTTTATCCGCACACTGTTCCTGTGCCTAACGTGCCTAATGCCATGGTACAGTCATCACAGTCACCACTGGAGCAAAGAATGGTTGTATGTCTTAGTCAGTTCTTTAACCCTAACCATGCTGAACCCAAAAAGGTTATGCAGGATTTCAATGGTCCCTAGGGGTTTAGGGTTAAGGGTCGAAGATTTTATGATAAATAGTCTGCCATTTGCTAACTGATTCACCAAGTAGGCTTACAGGAGGTTATTGGTGAGTAAAAATGTCTGATTTTTCAAAAAATACTTGGGCTTATGGTCTGAAACTGGCGTTCATTACCATTAGAACCCTGTTCCTATTATAAGAAAACAAAATCTAGGCCTACATGTACCTTTCTGAAACAACTTACCTTCATGTAGATAAGTTGGCGGTGATGTCCTTGTGCATGTCAGAGAGAAAAGAGGGAAGGGCTTTGGTTTTGAGGGATATTAAGAGGTAAAACGGCCGTATAAGTGATGCGATGAAGAGCTGTGAATGAAGATGAATCAGCACATGTATGTAGTCTGATTCCTTGACCTGAAACCATAAAAAGTTTCTTTTATGAAATTCAAGTATATCCACAATGGCTGGGTCGGGTAACATGACGTGAAACAAAATAGCATGATGCGGCCGTGTTTTGCCAAACTCAGGTAAAAGCTTGTGGTTTTCTTGCTTAAATATTGTCAAAATTTACCTAAACCAGAGCTACTAGGATTAAGGAATGAATCCTCAAGGTATGAATGTCAGTTAGTTTGAAAAAGTGGACTTCGTTTTCCTAATCATAGGAACAGGGTGCTAATGGCAATGAACACCCTGAAACTTCTGTAGGCATACTTAACTGTTTTCAAGAGCTGTTGGTCCAGTAACTCACGGTTGCTGTCACTGGAAAAAGTGGACTTTGCATTACCGGACCATTTACTGCAAAAGCTAGATTCAAAACATACATAGGGTTACGACCCCATGTACATTGTAAACAACTGTGGCTACATGTCAGTCAGATTAGTGATTCTTCAAGCAATGTTAATGACTAAAAGATTTTGTAAGTTCAAACGTAGGCCTAAGTTTTGTGTTAAAAATAGTAGAGAAGCAAAGAGATTTCTGCAAAGTGCTTAAGCAAAATTAAACATTCCCTAACTTTCCCTGCATTGTTTGTTCTCCCTTAAGTTTTAATAAACTTTCATTTTTCTGCAGAGTATAAACTAGTCAAAGGTTTAATACTGGTATTTTATCAATAAATGCTCGGAATAGATACGTAAAAGTGGGAGGAATGTTAGTTTCAAATGAAAAATCTTGCAATAGAGTTGCATGCTGTACCACCTGTAGCAAACTGGGAAGTCAAGGTGTGGGAATAGTTGCCTAATAGTTGCCTATTAGCCATCTGAAAGCAATATCATGACCTAAAAAGTCAAATTTAGGAGAGAAAATATTGAAGGTATTCACATAGAAATAGTGTCAATCAGCATATGGATGCCATCCATACACATACATGTACTTTCATATATGGAACACTTTCTGAGGTTGGGTTTTGGATATAAACAAACATGAGAGGTGCAGGAGCAACAGGAGCTAAGAAGTATATTAGATTATATTCTTGCCATGCAACAAGATGATTACCATTTCAGCCATACATTCATGGGTGCATGTAGCGAATTCATGAAATTATACGTACTGTAGTTAATATCGAAAACGTTGACAAAGGGTTGTTGGTTAAAATCACTGTTGTCAAGTACTTACATATACTGTACATGATTTCTGTACAGGGGACCTCTTGGATGATGCTATTGTCAACGTCGATGGTTACAGTTCATACTTCAGCTTTTCAAGAAAACGAACAGGATATTCAGGTACAACAGTTTACAAGGGAATGTAGAATTTTAATCAATTAACATCAGATTTTCTTACCCGAAAAGCTGCTGGGGGCTGGTTTTCTTACCCCCAAATTCTTCAACCTTGCAAATGTGCTTTGACCCAACTAAGCACGACGAGTTCATACGTCAACCGCGGAAATGAAAAAATTCTTGAACAAGTGTAACCGTCCTCTGTGGAACAAATAAGGAAAATTAAGTGTTCCGCTTGACACCAGAACGTGTTTACATGTCATCCGGCGCCAAGTGGTTAACAGTGGTACTAAGGACAGCTTTTTTAGTAGAGGCCCAAATGGGTTGATAAGTGATAAACTCAGTGCAGCTAAACTGGAGTAATTGTTGCGTCTAAGTCACCTGAAAAGTATTAAGGCGATAAAGACAAGTTGGGTGAGATGGTTCAGTTTGTAATAAATACTCATGACAGACTGAGGAGACTAAACTTCATGTACGTGTATATGTGCATTGTAAGCTGTGGTAGACTGCTCTGAGGGTTTAACTATTAAAGCCTTTTCACACGAGACAAATCTCGGGATTGATGTAGGGTTGAAAAGTTTTAACCCTGCACCCAAGCCTGTGTCAACTGCGAGATTGACTTCAACGTGGGTTGAACTCAACCCTGCTCCGGACCATGGTTGAGATTTTCCAACCCGGGTTGAAAAATTGTTCGTGCCCAACTCCGGGTTGATAAGCTCTGTTTGCATGCAACAATTGTGAATCAATGCCAGGTTGAATGTGGGGTTGAAAAATCAGATTTTCAACCCAAGGGCAATCATCAGTTGGTCCAGATTTAAATTCAACCTTGGTTGAGAGACTGTAGTGTGGAAAGGCCTTTAGGTTCAAAACCCTTACTGTGTGTTTTCAGTAAGAACACCATAGCAACTGTTTCCTCAGATACATCAGATGGTGCTTGAATGTGAGAACAGTTGAGGAAAAGATAGTGCTGGGTTCTAAGTAGAAAGGCTGTCCCCTTCATTCAGAATAAAAAGCTTGGATGCAACCAAGGTTTTAGCCAGAGGAGCGTCTTATGACACCTTTTAGGCTTTCCTGACATCCCGGTCTAGTATGCAAATTGTGAATGCAAAGCCTAATGCTTAGCCCCTTCTTTCAACTTGGCGCGAATTTGATCTTTCAGTTTCAAATGCTAACTTAAAATGGGCAGGGACTGTTTTAGCCTCGAAAATCATTTTCATTTGTGTGCTAGAAAACATCCTGAATCTGCTAAGCTCCAATGCTGTGGTAACCAATAACTAAGCACTGCAGCAAAGTTTGAAAATCAAGCAGTATTCAAGCCCCTTGCAAATTGCATGTAATAAATATGGCTGAGCTGCGCATTTCTGAATTCACCAAAATAAAGGTTCTGGATTTGGGCATTTTTCTTGGATCTACATGTACATGTAGTGCATGTATTTTATGTTCCCTCAAAACTAAGGCCTTTTACCTCTTCATGTTTTCAATGATTTAGGTGTAGCCACCTATTGTCGGAACTCAGTCACCCCTTCAAGGGCAGAGGAGGGTCTTACAGGGAGGCTTGCCAAGGGAAGTGATGATATTGGTTGCTATGGCAACCAGACATCCTTCACAAATGAAGAACTCCAGTCGCTGGATAGTGAAGGACGAGCAATTGTGACACAGCACACAATCAAGTGAGTTACTAGTAATGTGACATCTTCTTGAACTGTTTCATGTAACACTAATGCACTAATCCGATGTAATTGTGTAAGTTGTGCAGCAACTTGCTGCACATTCCATGAATGTTATGCATTGCGTAAGTCTGTGACATATGCAGCAAATGATGGTGTAATCTACGCAGTCAAATTTGGTACTGATAGCATAAGTTGCACTGAACAAATCAGAAATTAACGATTGTATGAAATAATAATGTTTGGTTAAGACAGAAAATGTAATGACTGTTTAAAGTGTAGCACAGTAGCAACAATGATTTTTTCATCAAAGTGTAAAAATTATTTTACATCCTTATAACCGGTATAGGTAAAATGCATTAAAAGTTAATTTCTTTGAACACTTGAAATCGTTCATGATTTCTGGGACAACTACATGTAAGGGCATTTTTACTGTGATGTCATGTCATAGTTCAGTGCGGAGCTGTTTCTATCAAAATGGTGAACCCAGAATTTACTCACTGAATGAAAACCTTTCTGAGAAAGGGTTGCATGCTTGTTTATTGCTATGCACTTACAAAACAATGAACCACCAATGAAGAGAAAAGTAAGGTTAGCAAAGTCTATTTTATAATTGCAGCATTTTTTGTGCTCACACCATTGTAACATTTAGGTGTTCTTTCCAGGATGACAGTACAGCTTTGTTCATGAATAAAATGAATGAATGAAAAAAAAACTGTGGCAGCAACATGGTACATAGTGAAACAAAACTTGGAACTGAGGTTACTGATACACAAAGGTATATTTCAGGGGTTTGTATTTTTTAAAGTACATGTACAATGCAGGGACCTTAAAGACTGCTTTACTATTGCAATGGAAGAGCTGCTATAAAATCTGCGATTGTCCTCATCAATGTGATAAAATTTGTGAAGCTAAGTTACATTAGGTATCTATATCACAGATGTCTGCTGTAAGGCTTAAACATGGTTCATACCTTATTATACAAGGTTTGGAGAAATTGGCCACATACATTTTGTACATGTATGCCTTTTCGTTGTAAGAGCACAGGCAGACTTGTGTTTAAATTCATTTTTTTACATTTCAATTTTGGCATACGTGCTCAGTCCTCCAGTCTTCAAACTCACAATGTTTGAGTTCCTTTCAGATAAACAATACATTTTAGTTCATGTAGGTACATGTACAGTACATGTGTGAGAATACACCCAGGAAACATCTGTGATACATCATACTGATGGGTCTTACATGTACCAGCACACAGGTGCATTGCAATTTCCTTACTGAGTTGCAGGAAATGACAGCAGAAATGATTTGTTTTTCCAAGGACACCCTCTTTTTTTCTGGAAATATCTGTATTTGTACATTCGTGTGGCAAAGGCAGCTTGTTTTTTGCATGTCTGCATGTTATGAACAGAGGTACCATCATTTGGGAAGGGAGCCCTCATTGCCTGAAATCATTTCAAAAGAGTTGAATGAACGGGAATGAGTCTCTGAAAAGCATTTGTCTTCCCCGGTGGCAAGTTGGTAACTGCTGAATTTGATAACCTAGACATTGCCTGTCTCCCCTGTGGTTTTGAATGTTCCTGGACTGGAGGAAATCACTTCTCTAATAAGTTAGCCAGAGCTGAACCAGGTAACTCCTGGAACTCAAACCTTGTCAACATGAAAGGGTGTCACAATTGCTTGTAAACCAGTTCATATGGTTGATCTCATAAGCAGTTATGAAGCCCCTCAGCCCTGTTTTTATGTATTCTACATAACTGGTTAGTGGTGCATGTACATAACATTTACTAGATTTTTTTTTATTTGAAAAACCCCTCGATGTTCAAGGAGAGGAAAAGGATGAACTATGAGAGGCTGCTTGCTTCCTAGAACTTTACAGTAAAATGTAAGTTAGACACATATAGATCATTAATGGAAAACAGTAAGTGAAAGGAAGACTTAAAGAAACTGGTTAAGCATAGCAAGACATTTGACTTGTTCACTTGGGACTCTCAGAGCACTTGAAGTTTGGTACATGCAAAGGGGATGTAGGACTCTGTCAAGTACAGCAATACAAAGGGAGAGAGGGGCCATGGGCCTACATGTTCCCTTGTATTCCTGTATTTTAATAAACGTGGTCTGCCCTTGAAAACATGCACTCATGATCAGTTTGAAGAAAGAACTACCGGTAGCAAACTTCTGGTCAAGTTTGGCCCTAGAGGGCCATCGTACTGGTCACTGCATTCCCATTGGTATTTCGAACCATAGTTTTTCTCAACTCCCTCTCCTGTGGAACTTGTGGCTTAGCACCGCGTGAGCCAACACACATGGGGCAATAGGAAAATTACACACATGAGGCAATAGTAAAATTATTGCCCTTAATTACATGTACATGTACTGTGTGTTGAGCAAAGCTACAGTAGTCCATACATGTACATGCACACACATGTGTCATTCCTTGCCAATTGTGTCCCAATCCATATTTGCCTGGAAAAAATTACCCCAAATTCCCCTGACATTTCAAATGAAGGAAACTAAAGTTTCAGCTCAATATCTTTGTCAGCTTCTTTGTGGTAGACTCTGAATTTTTTTTCACGTAAAGACTTTGTGCAAATATTCTTGGTGCTACAACTCTATATGATACATTACTTCAGTGTGATTGATGATCTGGATTTACACATGGACACTGTGTTAATGCTTGCATTGGTATAAGGTTATTTATAAGCATAAATATGTGAGTTCATACCAAACTCCACATAGGGTTTACTTTGCTCAAAAGATAAATCCAGTCATGTGATTATGAAAATACTGTGCCATTGTAAAAAAAAATATATCCTGCTAGTGATGGTGTCAATGCACTGAACAATGCATGTGAGGTACATGTACAGTACATGTATATGCTTCCATTTTCTTGCGTCTAGAGTGATGACATGTCTGGTCCAGCTCCAGTCATCCAGGGGTTTTTCCCAAATCCCACAACTCTTGTGCAACATACATGTAAGCTGGGGCTATTAAGTGGTGATTCATAGAAAGTTGCAATTGTTTCAAAATCTAACCTTCTGTGGGCAGGCAAAACAAGTTCCCGGAAGACCTTTTTAAAATGCAAATCAATTGGAAACACCCCCTTTTGTAATTTTTCTCCCCAGGTACACATACAGAGACTTACAGAAAAGGATGTCCCAATAATATTTCACAGAATTGCCAGCAGGTGATGCTGCCTGCAACTGTTCATTGTATCTAGGCATACTCTACCCAACTACTGTAATTTTAGTTTCAAGGAAACATAGGCACAGCATGCACTGTATATTTAGACAATTTTACTTACTGGTACCTGGTACGTACATGTACATATACATGATGTAATGGGCACGGACCCCTCCCAAAATAATTCTGTGTTGTGTGCTCCCATTTACAAGAAACTACATGTATCATTTTCAAGGGTTCATGTACAGTGAGACACATCTCTAAATTTTGACATTCATTGACTGTATTCCCAATAACATCGATGCATTGTGGATCAGAATTGGATTCCGTAATTGAGCAACTTTCGAGAGTTGGGAGCCAAAGGCAGCTTGATGTCAACAACATTCATTGTAGCTTTAAAAGAGATCATGCTTACATTTCCCAGCTTATTACTTCCCTCAAGTGCACTTACAGTGTACCTGTTGTGTACCCGTGGTTTTGATGGATTTGTAATAAACCCTTGAGTGAAGATGTCATACATACATGTAGATTAAATTTGCAAAATGAATCTGAGTGGTCGACGGCAACAGACACCCAAACACTGATTGCTTTCCTTTCCTGTCACAGGACTTACATGTAGTTGACTTGAGTCAATTTGCCACTACATTCTGTTAAATTATTTACCACCATATGTTTTGAGTGTTTTTTTTTTTTTGCATGCCAATCTTTTACATATATGATTTTGTAGAGTAACGTCTTGCCAACGTTTTGGCTACAGAGGTCAATTTGTCCCAGCTAGGGTGCCATCTAAATTTCTCTTTCAGTTAACTATGCTCATTTGTTGATGGTTGTTATAACTAAACATTTTTGTCGGATGTTGCTCAAACATTTTATTAATAACCTAAGTACACATACACTCATAACTGCAAAAATAAGGTTTTCATCACAGACCCTTGAGAACACAGAAAACTTGATTCACAATTATTCGTGTTCATACATACATGTATGTACATGCACACTGCAGAGTGTGTGCTATTGCATTATGGTCAACATTGTTATTTGTATAAATGTGTGCCACTTTGCATGGCATGTGTGTCACTGTTTCCCATCGAATTGTTGATTTCCTAAAGATGACTCGTATTCACAATTTTTTTTCTCTCCACAGGGGCAGTGCGAACAAACAGCCTAGACACTGAATGTATTTAAAGGATGAAAGAGACAGAAACAAAAAGTCTTGTCTTTGTTCTTATTCCTCAGGGATACAGAAGGAGGTCTGCATGAACTGGTTGTCATCAATGTGTACTGCCCACGAGCTGATCCCGACAATCAGGAGCGCATGGCCTACAAGTTACATTTCTACAACCTGCTACAGCTGAGGGCAGAAGCCTTGGTGAAGGCCGGCAGGTTAGTCTCGTGGGTACACCTATGTCAAGGGCTAGCATTCTCCCCTCAGCCAAGTTTCTCCTGTTTCAACAAGTGACAGAGTATTCACATATAAAGAGATGTTTGGAGCCCATAACACTTTCTCATTTAATGGCAGAGACAGAAACTGACCAGGACTTCACTTTCTTTGTGACCTGCTGTCGGATGATTTTAATTTTATTGCAACAAAATATAAAAAGCAATTTCTTGGCAGTCCAGTCCCTTGGATTCTTCTGTTTATCTTTCTTTTAAGCAGTTCTGAGTCCTCTTTGGTTCTTGTTTCAACATGGCACCTTTGCTGGTCCCAGCTGCCTTGAGTGTACACAAAGGCCTAGTGTCCATGCCTACATGTGCCCGAGTGTTGCATTGACCAATCAGGCTGAAGCAGAGGAAGTGCTAGTGGTATAGTCAGCAACCAATCATATTTTAGAAGCAGCCAGGGCAATGCCCTTTCCTGACACATACATCGGAATGTTGGCAGGTCTCAGGTGTCAAAAATGATAGGGTTTTATCCAGAAAAAGGTACTTGCAATTTCCGAAATTTCCTCTGGTACCCTGAATTCTTAATAGAGTGGAGCAATCCCAGCATACATGTTCATGCACTAATATTGTACACATGCTTTCCTAATGGATACCACTAGCATCATGTTCCTACATGTATGGGATGGTTCAAACTCACACTTGAGAGACTCAACCCTACACATAGTAGTAATGTAACTGATGGCAACATGCACGTGTACATACATTATTCCAGACTGGTTTAACTGCCGGTACCAAACTTAGATACCATTGCAAGTGTTCCAAATTCAAAAGGGATCTATCAGGACATGTTTACAGTGAA